CTATGGAAATAAAAAAGTTTATAACGGTATCGTTTTTGTTCGATTTGCATCCACTATAGTCTCGATCATTCAGACGTATGCCTTCATCACACAAATCGAAGCGGTTTGATGATCAAGATTTTACTTCATTTATTTTCCAGGCGACAATTGATGGCAACATCAATGTTTTCTTGTTTTGTTTTTATATACACGTACTTGCAAATGATAAATTCATCGTAAGAACTGAAAATTGATTTTTTTTAAAAAGTAATCCAAGCTGCCCAGTGGAGAAGTATTCATTGTACACATATGTAGAAGAAAAAAATGCCTGAAAAAATGCTAGCCGAAGATTCACCTTTCTACATGTGCATAAATAGAAAAATGACTGGGGATTCGTTGTATGTATCAGGATACATAGGTAAAATACCATGGGAAACATGATAAAATTGATGTGTGAGGAAGCTAATCCCTAAAATATAAAGAAATCATAAGTTTTCTTTGGTGCTTAGATACGAGACTTTGTATCGCTCTCTATATAATTCTGTACAAAATTTTGCACAATTTTTTAACCTTATGACAAAATCTTATGAAATTCTCCTACTATACCTGGTAAACATTATTCAGGTTACCAATTTAAATATAAATCTTTGAGAATAATGCTGTTATCTGAAAAAAAAAGTTTCTTTTGTGTTATTTATCCTTAAAATTGATTTTTTTATTAATTAAAAACAGAGGGAGATAACATAACTCTAACTAAAATTCAAGGTCATAAATTAGGACACATCTAACACTTACATGCTAATAGTAATAAATCGGATTATGCCTCAATATTCACATTTCCTATATTTTTCTACTAAACCAACTGTGAATTTGATTTGAATGCCATTTTCGTGTATACTCACGCGTAGAAATATGCACGGAGAAACCCGCGCTAAAGTGACGTCACAATGAACAACAGAGACGTTAATAAAAATGTAACAATATAGGGCAGCAAATAATTCAAACATTGAGTATATTTTTGGTGCTTTTGAACATGTAAAATGTAAATATAAGGAATGTTTTTAAGTTTTGTTTGAATTATTGGTGTGTAAATCACACAGACTTGCACGTAGGCATATTTTTCATGAAGCGCTAGCGCGCTTCATAAAATATTTCTACGTGACAAGTCTGTGTGATTTACACACCAATAACTCACACAAAACTTAAAAACATTCCTTAAATATACTTAGTATTCAACACCTACCATCAATTTCATTGAATCTTTTGCTATTACGATGGAATACCTTAACTTCTTTATTGCTGACTCATCATCCAACTTCTATATCTACCTTCTGAAAGCCTGACTCTCCCAAAGCTTTGCCTCATATACCCTTAGGCTAGTCCATTCTAAGGGTTGTCAGTTCATTCCACTATTTGAAGTCTTCAATGCGTTTTACTCAAATGCCCCTTAACCACTACACCTATATATTCCTATGAACCTTGACCCACTGTTATGGTCCCGCCCTACCCCCAGGGCGCGGCTAGGAAAATAGCAAACTGTTCCTACTGTAGTACTTAACTTCTCTGAACTACCTAGATATGACGTCATAATAGCATTTGACGTCAAGTCACTGCATACTTGAGCTGACATGACGGGGAAAGTGTCATAACTTTTAAATTCCTTTCACATAACTTGTAAAGATTTTTTAGCATTGTTGTTTGATTCAAGTGTCTGGATTGTTCTTTAAGCTTAAGTGTGCTGTTATGATGTTGAACATTTGCAATTTAATATCGTTATTCCTTTAACTTGTCCGATATACATATATTCAAACAATAACAAAAAAAATTGACTGTGAGATTCTCCCCCTTGTCCGTGGACAGAGTTAGAATTTATAAATCGTGTATATATTTGACTGGCATAAGTGATTAATAAGGATAAATTGAAGATATTCTGTGTGAATCTACTAGAGAAGTATGTCCTCAAACTGAATTCTGCTGGGGGATTGTATGTAATTTATCGTATTTCGTATTATTTGTGATAAAGAGTGGAAAATGCCCCCTTGTCCGTAAGGTGAATTTCTCGTGGAATATTTTCTCAAGAAGTAAAATTCAGACTTCCCCCAGCACTTTATATGTACCAAAGATCACGATGAATTGACTAATGTGACAAATTATTCTCAATAATGTTGTTTTGCACTTGTGTCGATGTGCTTTTTGCGCTACATTTAGGAATTTATGTGTCCGTCAGGTGATCAACAGTCATGTGACATCACAAAAATGCTTTAATATAATACCTGATTAGACTCTATCACAAGTTGACTACAAAAATAAAGCTCAAAATGAAATGAATTTTTAATGCATATTAAGCCTTCGGACAGCCTTAACATAGCTCACGGGTCATGATCTAAACAAACTTGAATCTACACTACCTGAGGATGCTTACATATCACTAATGACTAAACAAGGTTTTGCCGTTCTTGAGAGGAAGATCTTTAAAGATTTTTTCTATATATTTCTATGGTAAACTTTGTCCCCTCCCCCTGTTGTGGCCCTTCCCTACCCCCAGGGGTCATGATCGGAACAAACTTGAATCTACACTACCTGAGGATACTTCTGTAATAATATGACTAATCATGGCTTTGCTGTTCTCGAGATGAAGATTTTTAAAGACATTTCTTATATATTACTATGTAAATCTTTGACCCCCCTCTTATGACCTCGCCCTACCCCCGGGGTTATGATATGAACAAATTTGAATTAAGAATATGTAATGAAGCTTTCACATGAGTTTCATCTTTTCTTGCCCAGTGGTTCTTGAGAAGGAGAATTTTAAAGATGCAACCAAATTATAACGAATTCTTAATTATCTCCCTTTGAAAGAGTGCGCGGCACTTTCTGTAAACAAAGTTGAACCCCTTTACCCAGGGCTGCTTTTTGGCAAGTTTGGTTGATATTGGCCCAGTGGTTCTTGAGAAGAAGTCGCAAATGTGAAAAGTTTTCAGACGACAGACGACGGACGACAGACGGACGCCGGAAACTCTTTCATCAGAAAAGCTCACTTGAGACTTTGGCTCAGGTGAGATAAAAAGCTTCTGCTTTTTAATATTCAATCAAATGATATTCAAGCCAGCTTTCTGAAAATTTCTTTGCTGTCATGCGAAATAATTAATTTTCACATAAGTCCCTGAAGCTACACAGTTACTGCACACTTGAAATCATAATTCAGATATTCTTTATAAATACAGTTTCTGATTAGAAAATACCACAGACTATAACAAAAACAAGGAAAAACCAAGCCACGGTTGCTGTATTTCGATATTGTCCATTATTTGAGGATATCGAAGAACGCGCAGCACTCTGATTAAGGCTCGGATACAAAACACGGCCTTTATATGTATTTCTCCTATGGCAATCAATTAAGCCAAAAGTTTTATTGAAGCAGAGTTGGATTTCACACAACCACAAAGGCTAAAAGAAACAAAGAAGATAACATGAATAAACTTAAAAGAACAAGTCATTTGTATTATTCAATCTAAATATTAACTAGATGTAGCAAGGTTGGAGGAAGTACATAAAAGTTAGCCACAATTAAAAAAAAATGTATAGTTCATTTACAATGTATATATTAGTTACCCTTTGTCCGACATTTTTGATAAGAATATAAGGTAGGTGTTTTGTCTCAATTCTGAAACCATCTTCTATATCTGGAATCTGATATAAATAATGTATCTTATTATTTTATCACTTTTGGCTCCAAAAATAAACTCTAAAGAGATTTTTCGACAGACAACATTGAATGGTCATCATCTTAATGATAAAATCACTTACTTGGATTTCATTTCCTTGCATTATATTTCTGCTTTTTAGAATTCTGAATAACACAAATATATTGAAATAATTTGATGACCCTTTCTTTAATAAACCTATAATATAATACAAAATATTACAAATGTCTTTAATTGCACTCACGTTGAGATATTATAACGAAGGGCCAATTCAATGGCTTTGCTAAAATACTGTGCCACTGTCTTGGTGCCGTCTACGTCAGCACATGTGCCATGTTTTTGCCACTGGTATGACCTATGTGTAAAGGACACGTGAAAACGTTTAAAATAATATCCATCGGGGATGCAGGAAGTAAATAAATGACAAGCGTCCCTTTAATAGATTTTTGAAGTGTAAATTTACGATGATTAAAAATTGACAAGAAAAAGTTTCTTTCAAATTATTTATTTTGAATTAAAGAATTCGTAATTGCGGCATCTTGATAATATATCACACGATGATCAAAGTAGCATAAAAACAATGATCTACAAAAATTAAACTATACTAGTTGAAATTGTTACTTATTTGGATTTATTTCATAAACAAATTTCAGATACAATTGGGCGAAAATTGCAAGATTATTTCCTTACGATCATTCACAATTATACTTGAAGATTCCAATTTCATTTAAATTAATACAGGCACGCTCTCGTATTAAACACGACACCAACCCACCCACCCTTTTATCCCCCTCCCCCACACAGGTTCACCAGTGTTGAGAAATAAAGACATAAGAATTAAAAATAAGATATTACCAAAAGCTGGAACTTGTACTTTTCAAAAGGTCTGGCCATATCCTCTTCATTTCATTTAAAGTTCCCTGTAAATCAAAAACAGAAATAATAAACACATAATCGGCCTCAATAAATGTTTTCAAAGAAAAATAAATATACGGCGAAAACTACCTTAAATAATGATATGACCGCTTTGAATGTAATTCAGTGTATAATGAAGCAAACCTTAGGAATACTCTCATGACCAAAACGGGAATTCGAACAATTAGATACAAGACTTCCATTTGAATTCGATGGCCTGAAAATGACATATCATGAAATACAGATTTCAATTCAGTTTCAATTTGAATTACAATATACTTCCAAAAATGATTACAAAACATTTAAGTAGAAATTTTACTTTTTGAAATTAAAAAAAAACCATGTGAGCAAATAAAAAATATTTTTGATTCTTAACAATATTGTCTAGTCTATTACTACTCACCAAAATCCATGAAGAGTCCAGTGAGCTGGTAATGGTTGGTTGCACTGCAATGAGTGTTTTCACTTATTTGTTTGTTTTTTTTTTTTTTTCAAAAGGTCAGTTAATCACAATGCAAAGAACCGTAATAAATATGTAAAAATAAATAGATTTAGCCAATTTCCATTGGTTTTAGCGCATTGACTTTTCAAAACAATTTACTTGTTTCAAAGTTACCTTTCTGGTTTTGCAAAATGTAACTGGCCATTGATGGGACAGAATGAAATGATCAAACTCCACCGCTGTTAAGGAAGTTGTATGGCTGCTCGAAAACAAACAAATGAATGGAGAGTATTAATATATATCTAACCTTTGTGACGTATTCATTATATTAAGTCAGCAACTAGCATATAAATTATATTCATAACATATTTTTAGAAAGTTTAAAAAAAAATGTTGGTCATATTCTGCAATCCAGAATTTAGATACATTTATTAATATGCATTACTAAGCCATGTGATTCTTATCTTTATTCTAGTACGATATGTACTAATATTTTTTTTATTGCATTTTTCTTTAATTGATTTTTCTTGTTTTAAAGGAATAGAAACTAAAACAGCCTATAAAGAAAAACAAGGCAGCGAAAATTAGAGCTATTAAGAACTCATCAATGCTTACCTGTTCAATGTGAGAATCCCTAATACTACAGATAGACAGAAGGAGGCCATGGTCAGGCACACCTGGACCTAGTATATGTTACATAGAAAAAAAAATACTAGTATTAAAGGCATATTTTCCAAACAAGTATTCCTTTAAAGATGATGATCAGGATGTGTAGCGTTGAGTAGTTGTCATAGTTTTGGCTTACATTATGAATTAGAAAAGTTCATTTCCTAATAAACGAATACTCTAATGTATGAGATTGACTTACCCGAAACACCAATGAACGAATAAATTAGGGTTTTTCATACTATAAAATTTTATTTAATTTTTATTTATAACTTTAACTTTCTGTTAGGGCCCTGGGCTCCATATTTAGGGTACCTATTAGGGCTTTAGGTTCCATGTATTATAGCCTAGCTTCTGCACCATCATTAGGTGTCAAGACACCTAATGTATTTAGGGCACTAATTAAGCTTCAGGATTAGGGCACTAGGAACAATCCAATGACATCAGATGATGGTCAACAGACCGATGAATATTCAGTAAGAAGAACATTCTTCGAGGTCAGTAATGATGTTTGGGATGAGCTTTTACCGCATTTTGAAAACATTGAAGAATCAAACTCATGGGGACCCTAGAAATCTCACAGAGTGTTGCTAAGAACCTTGCGAGGACATGCAGAGAGCTATGCATGTTGAATGCTTTTTACTGTACAAAGAGATTATGAAGGATAAAATGAATGAACGATTGAGACATTCTGCAATGAAAGAGAGGTATATTGCAGACACCAAATTAAGGAGACGACAAAATGGCGAGTCGCTGCGAGACTTTGGACATGCTATTAAAAATTTGTACCAAAGGACCTATCCAGGAAATTCAGATAAAGTGGAAGAAAACGCTTTAAAGTCGTTTTAGATAAGTTTGAACAATTTGAGGGATTTCGTCTTGCAGTGAAGAGGAACAGAACAAGGACACTTCAAGAATCAGTTCTTGATGTGATAAAGAAAAGTGCTTGCGGACTGGAAATAAAAAAAAAATATGATTAAAGGAGACTAAATCAGGCTACAGGCCTGTGTATGAGGTTGAAGATGGGGAATTGAATAATAAAATAGCAGCTGCGGATAATGCCAAACTTCCCAAACTTCGGGTGTCCGATACAACAGAATTCATAAAAAAACATTAGAACCCCTAGTACATTACGAAATACAACCCAATTTACGATAAGGAAAGGAAAAATTAAACCAAAAGCCAGTTCTCGAGACAAGAATATTTGTATTGAAAATGGAACTGAAAAGGATTTTTTTTTTTCTAGAGATGATTGATGTGAGGTCAGGTGTCAGTCAGTTTTAGATGGCCTATCACAAAAGGAATAAAAGCTCAAAACAGGAAAAGAAGAAGACGGAAGAGAAAATGATTAATTCAGATGAAACTGACTGGGGAATTTTTTAAAGACTCGATGCTTAAACGCCACGACCAACGTGGAGCTACAAGTGTATAATACATGAACTTCTGATTTACTCAATGACATTTTATTTGATACATTTTTATTTAAATCTGTTTAAAAAATATGCCGACTAGATATATCCCAGTGAGCTTGAAATAAAAGATATCACAGAGTCCAACACACCTGTTTCATATTAGATTTTTTTCTGATAAAAATGTTAATGGTAACCTAACGAAAAAACTTTATGATAAACGTGATGACTTCAATTTTTCTATCGTCATCTTCCCTAACTTTGTCACCTGTATATGGGGTTTATATCTCCGAGCTGATTCGATATGCAAGAGCATACTCCACGTACGAACAGTTCTAAAATGAGGCAAGCTATTTAAACAAGATATAAACAGTCTCGTTTATAGTCATCATTTCGCAAGTTCAATGGTTGATGAAAGGCCCTAACTATAATAAGTTAATAATAAATTAGTGCCCGAAAACTTTTCAGCATTATTTATAAATACCTCTTCCTTCTCAAAAACTTCCAATTCAAGCTAGTGTCTTTTTGAAAAAATGTCGAATGCAGCATCAAACGCATGACTAGTAGTATTGAGAGCAAGACTAGCTCGGAAAATTCCCCGATAGGGGGAGTCGAGAAGCAATGTTTAGGGAGATCATTTTTTTTTTTTTTTTTGAATTAATGCCGAAATAATCTTTTAATACTAACGTGTATAGACAGTTAATAAGATATAAAGAACCAGATAAGCATAAAATCATGTGAAGTTGTCTTAAAAGGATTACAATTACACGTCTGTACATTGTGTCAGTGTAATGTTTCAAAGAAACGGGGACGGGGGGTGGGGGGGGGGGGTTGCATAAGCCAAGCTATATGCTTATATAACTACGTAATAGATAAAAATTAAACATATTTATTTCTTACAAAAATCAACCTTTCATTAAATTCTGGTTATGTTTATCATTATTTGCATACAAGTATGTCAAAATCTGAATACAGTGACTGCACAATTGATTACGATTAACACACTAAAATGGCAACCCGCTCAATTTGCATGAAAAATGATATTAACTGGAGTATGCTTAAACCACATAGAGTGAGTTATCGTACCAGATATTGAGAATGAATAATGAAAGGTAAAGGAAAGATGTTTCAGTTTTACACGTGCAAAAATTTGGTATATAGACCCACTCTGTATAAAAAAATCAGTTTACTAACTTATATATATATATATATATATATATATATATATATATTATATGCACAGTATGTGTTTACGCTTAAATATACAAACAATTAAGAAGTCAATACCCTTTTTAGACTTTCGTTGGCAGAACTCACATGGTCAAGTGATTATCTTCTTTAGAATCTAGATATCATTATTTTGACAGTGCTACATGTATACACATCTAACTGCCTAGGTTAATTCGTACAACACTTCATTCCGTTATACGTACTTGCATAGCATTTTTATTGCAAAACTAGGCACTGACTTTGATTAAAAAAGTCTACACTAGCTTGTCCGAATTCGTACTTGAGTTAAATTGATATTAGAAATGATTTTAATTTCCTAATTGAGTATATTTATGTATTAAACATGGAGAATAGTGTATAAAACATCATTGTGAATTGAATCAGTAATGAATTAGTTTGGAAGCACCCTTATGTATAGAAAAATGCTAATGCAAACGCTAATATAGGTGACCTATCAGGATCGATTTCTCAGAATTCCACTTTCGTTTTTGTTTGTCTAAGACCGCACGAAATAAATCATCCATGTAAGAATTTTATGCAAGATAATGTTTATAAAATCTTTGCTTACAATGGAATTGTAGATGTTTAACAACATATTCCAATGTAGTAAATAAAATTAACCCCAACAGTGTGTATAAAAATGTGTAATAAAAAAAAACTCAGTAAAAGAATATCGATTTCCCAAATCTCTACACAACCAATTCTCGATCTTTAAGCATCCTTAAATTTGAGGTTTCTTTGTCAATCGAGTTTCGAGCCGTCGAGAGAACCTATATAAAAGGGTATAGAAAAAATGTTACTTACTTATTTAAGGCTTCAAGGAAATATATCGATACAGAAACGAAAGGTTTATCTGCGGCCACTAGGAAGTCAACGTTTGAATCTTATCACATAACAAGGTCATTTCCATGGTATTGCTTGTGACGTTGGGAAATTCCCGAAAAGGCAGTTTTTAATCTGCTTGTGGGACTTTGATATAATGAGTAAAGAATGTGACTAACCTAAAAAGTAACGGTTTTGTCACCAGAAATTTTAGAATATTAGCTGTTACAATTCCCGTCAGAGGTAAACAATTATCATGGAAACTTTTGCATTGATCCTTTCATGTTTTATTTAATAACATACTTTGAAAGTTAATTTTTTTCTGATAAGGATTTGAACAAAATACACTGTAATTTCTGGACAGTTTCAATTTTTTTTTCTTGTCACTAAAGCATATTACAACAGTTTAATTGGTGCAGGACAGCTATACCCTTCAGAAAAAAAAAATGAGAGAGAGAGATACCTTGTCAAGATTGTTTTTGTTTTAAATATCAAAGGCTCAGACAAGCTAATTTTGAATTATTATTATTGATATTCAAATTTCAATTTTAATAAGAAAAAATAGTTTTATCATTTTGATTTTATTAAAATTTTATAGTTTAAGGACATTAGAATTGCGTGATCAAGATATCACTCACTCAATATAAGTTTTTTTTTGATAATGAAAAATAACGATAATGAAAAGTAACGATAAAACTCACTCAATTTGATAAGGAGCACGTAAGAAAAGCCATCCCAAATATTTATCTTCCTATTTAAACTGTTTTCAACAAATTGCAGATAGACGACTGTTTAACCTCATTAAGATAATACTTTACAGGTGTCTGAAAGCCTGCACATGCACAAGGTATGATTTGTATCACAAAGCCTTATCTGAAAACTTTTATTTGTTTGCCTTCTCCCGACCGACTGGCTTAAAATGGCCCGACTCAAAACTTTTGTTTTAAAATCACCAGGAAACGATTATTGATTTTATAGTATTAATACCTTTAATTTTAACAGATTTTGAAAATTCAGCATCGATGTTGAAAATTTCTCTGAAAAAAAATCTGGTCTAACTTTCGACCCAATTTTTTTTTAATCCTGAGTCAAGAGGCAATTTAAAAGTTTAAATGTTGGCCTTATACAAGTATTGTAATACTTTTTTGTATTTTTAATTTTCTGTACACAACGCAAATACAAATTTAACAAGCATTCTGAGAGTATTGCATTAATTAGCAATACTAGTCCCCAATCGGCAAGTGAAATCTGGTTCCCGTTAAGAATTGAAAATGTCATAATTCCGTCAAAAATCAATGAAGCGGAACGAAATGCAATCTTGATCTGTAACTCATCAAGATACACCCACATACCAAAAATCAGCTCAATATCTGCAAGCGTTTAGGAAAAAAGTGCGGAAAACCAAGTGGGAAAGACTGACAGACAGACAGACGGACAGACAGACTGACAGACAGACGAACGGACAGACTCAGAGGAAACCTATAGTCCCCTCCGGTTTCACCGGCAGGGGACTAATAAGTTTGCAAATAAACGTACACGTACGTAACTCTTGATGGCTCTAACATCGATCTCTAGAAGTTCTTGATCGCTCGAAGTGATCGGGTCTCTGAGACAATGCCTAAATAATTATAAGTACATCTAAAAAGTAAAAAAAAATGTCTTTATCAAAAACAAATATATATACAGCTGTAAATAACACATATGATTACTGCTTAAATATTTCATATTTTGAGTACATTTGCCCGAATGTGCTACACGTTGCAGTTACCGTTGCATTATATTTATATACATAAAATATGTTACATTAATGTCATTTTTTCTGTTGTTTACGGAAGCCCGTTGATGCCAGTTCAGAGAAAGAATTTTTTTTTATTGCGTTTAAACGCAATAATTATTGCGTTTAAACGCAAAAGATTGCGTTTAATCGCAATAATCATTGCGTTTAAACGCAAAAGATTGCGATTAATCGCAATGTATATTGCGTTTAAACGCAAAAGATTGCGATTGAACGCAATACTTTTGCGATTAAACGCAATAATCGTTTTGCGTTTAAACGCAATAATATTTTTGCGTTTAAACGCAATAATTTTTGCGATTAAACGCAATACTTTTGCGATTAATCGCAATAGTGTTGCGATTAAACGCAATATTTTTTGCGATTAAACGCAATATTTTTTGCGTTTAAACGTAATAATCTTTGCGTTTAAACGCAATAATCCTTTCTTATAAGGATTTGTTTTGCATTTAAACACAATGATACTGTAGTTTCAAAATCAAACATGAATTAGTCAAAGCTTATAATTACAGGTACATGTACTAGGACCCGACACTTCAACTTTAAGAAGATTCGATTTGTTCTGTGTCTTTTTGCAAAATTTCCCAGTTTTTGAAAATTGTGGTAAAACAATGGCATCCTAAAAATCTGAATGTCTTAAATGTATTAGAACCCAAAACTCTTAATGAAGTGTCTGATCAATTGCTTACGTATATCACAACTTACAGAGAATGTTTCAGTGGCATTAATAGCACTTGTCAGTTTGATACATGTAGTGCACATCGATCAATCTGTTTTCATTTGATTTTGATTTTGATCTCATATAAATCCATCACATATGTTCTTGTGTTTACTGTATGCAACCATAGGAAGGGTTATGAATGTACATTAAAGTCTAAATACTTCATCATGTTGTACGTAATTCCAACAATAACTTACTTAATTCTTGTAATTTACACAAGAACGCAACTCTGGAAAACGAAAGCAGACAAAATACAAATGACCACGGACCTGCATATTACAATAAGCTTAAGACATGTCATTCATTTAATTTATAGCCTTTTAACACAAGGTAAGTTTCTGAAATCCAAATCTTCATGATATGAGTTATGACTCTAGAATGCGAGTGAAAAAGTCCCCTAATTGATAAATTATGTTCACTCTACTTTAAATCTGCAACGATGTTATTGTCATCTGTTACATTTATCAGTTTTTAGGTTAGAAATCAATATAACTACTATATTTCACCATTACTAAATTCTTGAGTGGAAAATCTTTAACATGTCGTCATCTACTCTTAGCAAAAAAATCTTGTTCTCGATACTTAACTCAATCTAGGACCTATAGCATCCATTGCAGATCTTATTAATAAATTTGCATAGGTTTGGTTTTATTATTATCATTATTATTATCATTATTATTATTTGTTGTTGTTGTTAGGGTGCAGTTGTTTTGAATAAAAATGAAGGACTTTTGAAGCTTTAATTAATAATATGATGGCATAGAGATTTGATTGTGTTATCTTTCTATGTATAAATCGAATGAATTTGCATTGAACTTGTGGTTGAAAGCAGGACGTTGAAATATTTATTGACGAATACAGATTTTTTTTTTTTTTTTTTTTTTTTATTCCAGACGTGTTATGAATGTTCAAACTATTACACTCCGAATACCGTTTAGTTTTCTTAAAAATAGATCTCCCCTGTGGGTTATTTACTAGATTCTCTCTCTCTCCCTCTCGTGATAAACAGAGGGTTAAATATAATTCATCTTCAACTAAATTTATATAAAATGCTCATAGTTTAAAACACTGATTTTAAACTTCTTATGTAAAAACAGAAAGTGAGGCAGAAAAAAATAAGCTGGTAATTGTACAAAGCAAATACTTTTCCACAAAAGCATTGGGAATATTTTACTGGTGGTGGAAAAAAAGTAAATGTCTCGACAAATATTATATAAAATTCTAATCATATCTATAAATTATGCAAAATAAGTAATATTATCTATTATTTATTTTCATTACATCATTTTGTTGTCTCTATTTGTGTGTGTGTGTGTTCCTTTGTTTTTTTGTTTGTTTGTTTGTTTTTTTTTTTTTTTTTTTTTTTTTTTTTGTCTTAAGGTCATGTTTGGCTTTACTTCGTACTTTTGTTTTGTTTTGTGTTTGTTTGATTTTTTTTTTATTTTTTTAATTTTCATAGGCATCCCACACAAGTTTTTCTGTTTAATGTAAAAAAAAGCGGGTTGATTAAAACAGGTATTTGACAGCATGTAGATCTTTTTCTTATTTCAACTTCAGCGATTGAAAACTCATTTTTGCTTTTGACTTTGGACCCCCCCCCCCCCCCCAAAAAAAAAAAAAAATCTATTTTTCATTGCCATGTACAATCTTATTTAATTTGCATGTGTCAAATAGTTGCAAACATATCGAGTTACGACGGGGTTGCAACTATACGGGTGCCATATTGGTTTTTATGAGAAAATATGGGACACCCTTGGCTAAACCTCTCCTGAGTTTTAATCGTTCCCGCAATCTGGTTAAAATACCTGACCAATTAATGCCTGCAATCTGCAACACCGTCCACTTTTCTCCTGTGATTGTCAACTTTGTCATTTTCTCATCAAAGAACACTGCAACGTCTTTTTTTACCCAATAAATCGCGCACGATTCGATAAAAAACATGCTATGTTTGACACACTCGTAACCCCCCTCAGAACTACATGAGTTCTAGAATATAACTCCATATGATAGACTTTAGTCTATGTAAACATTCTGCCAACTGACAATTGTGTACGTTAGCGTGCATCCAAGTAACGAAAAAAGTTGACTTTATAAATTTACTTCGCTGAAATTGTGTCTCTTGTTCCGCTATGGTCAGTATGCTAAACACGCGGGATTCTGACGTAATTTTTGTAGTTAATATTGCAATAGAAATCACAAAGTGACGTCACAATATGTGTATATTTTTCTGATCTTTTCAATGATATCAACCTCATTAATTTCCATTAAACAATAAATATTTTATCAAACAGTTCTCAGAACTTTTCAAATGCCCATGATGGTACCTATTGAATAGCAGGGTTGGCTCGGAAATGAAGGAAACTTGACATTCATTCTATTCTTACATTTCAATATATTTCTTACAATTCAATATGACAATTTTATTATAGTTTAGAATATGCATGAAAATGCCAAAATTATAGATGATTATAAACTAATCCTTCCTTAATCTAGAATGAAAACATATTTTGAAAGTTTCAATAAAAGAGAATTAAAAGAATAAACAATAACGATTTAAATTATATTTTTAACAAAAGCTTTATTGGCATTTGTTGACAGTACAATACACACAGACAGATAGACATACATCACAGTTGTCCAGTGATTCCAGTTAAGATGGGGAGGAAGCAAACTAAAGCGAACAGAGATGACGCCCTACCCTGTGATGACCGGTACTGTGCACTCGTCTCTTTGGACTTCTGAATTAATAGTCTTGGGTATAAAACACCGCCCATGCATGGTAAGTTTTTCTTTCCACAATCAATTTGGCTGAAGGTTGTATTGAAGCATAATCGGATTTCAGATAACCAGCAAGGCTACAACGGTAGATCAAAAATACATATAGTAAACAACGGGCAAATAACAACAGGCAAGGGCATCTGAAAACTGTGATATATATACTACATGTATATTGTCTATATACACATGACTTTTCATAAACAAAGTCTGAGTTTTAAATTAAGTATGAAATAGTTTCACTTTGTGTGTTGATCATTTTACCTTCTGTCCTCTTGTAACTTGTATGAAAGGTTTGTAGTTTGTTTTATTTTTTACCCCGTCTTCTATTACCTTTATCTACAATAAATAAGAAATCATAGGGATAGATCTTATATAAGAATTTTAAAACTAATAAATAAAATAAATTAAGTAATCAAACGACAGGGAAGAGAGATTTATACACTGCAGTTATCTTTCCCTTTTCTATGTACCTACTTGAAAAGAATTCCCTTTCGTTACGTTATAGTCTGTTAGAATTCTGAAATATCAACTATACATATGTTACAAGGATTCAAACGGTTATTTATCGCCAATTCTTTTCTATTGATATAATAAAAAGGAAGGTAAAAACTATTTATCTTACTTAGAAATATTGTACACCTTGGCCAGATCGATAGTTTTTGTGAAGTATTCTGACACGTTCCTTGTTCCTGTTACATTAGCACACGTGCCGTGTTTTCGCCACTGCTGTGACCTTTGTAATAATATATTATTGGTCAGTTTAGCTAAATACTTAGAAATGTCAAAATCAGATTTGAAGAACATAAATTATGCATATTTTCCTCTCAATTTGAATACAAGTGTACAAAATTAAATCGGACATTGTTTGGTTGCCAGAATATGCAAAAAAATGTATACCAAAAATCTTCGTTGCTTTTTGCGTCCAACAGATTCGGCCATATCTTATCCATGGATTCTAGAGTTTTCTGAAAGCGAAATGAGAACAATGTTTTTCGGTGAGTGTTCAATCTTCGTTATCGTTACCTTTTTTCATTTAAGAAATAAATAACAAGTTTAAAAACTTCAATGGGAATTGAAGTGGGTCTTCTCAGGCCTTCTCAGAAGATTTGATCACGTACCGACCCACTTCAATTCCCATTGAAGTTTTTAAACTTGTTATTTATTACTTATATATACATTTGAGACGGACAATCGAATGTAATCGAATATAAATATTGCACTAACTGCACGTCGTAGATTTTGACTAATTACGCTAGGTGTAAATCGGCTTGAAAAGCGGTTACGCTTCAAATTCATCTGGCAAAGGATTCTGCTTTGAAGGGAATATTCTGTGAAAGGCTACTTGTGATCAATTATAGTGAGCGTATTGGTGTCTTGGAATTTTTGTATTCATGAGAACCCATATTCGATGTTTAAAAACACAAGAAACACGTCCGATGTTTGATAATAAAAAGTTGGAGGAATTGCGGTCGGAAAGGGATGGATGGAGACACTTGTCCGGACCAGATAACTTGAAATCAAGTACAAAATTTGATCAAAAACATAAAATCTACGATTTCAGTAAGGCATATTTATTAATTTATGATGTTGACATGGAGACACTGGCGACAGCTTACATTGTTCAGACAACGTCACAACGATCTCGATGATGGAGGTGTGCCTACCGAACTTCCAAAGTGCAGTGTTTGTCAGCTGTTTGTGGCGTGATTGCACTACATTGATATTTTTCAACAGATTTTCAAATTTATTGTGAGTAAAGTTTAATGAAAAAAAATTATAGCATTCAGAGGTCTGCGAGAAAAATAAGGGTAAACGTAGAGACTATGCAGCTCAGACATGAAACTTATAACACGTAGTTTTCTATTCTCTATGTAAAATCGATCAAGAACTGTATTAAATACTCGTTTACATTGTAAATAAAATGATTATTATTTTACTTGCGTATTTTGTACATTTTTATGTATGAAAAACATGCTATATTGCTTAGTGGAGTAAGTCTTTTTATGTAGATATTAATTACTGCGCTGTGTGATTAGGTCATGTAATGACCTATGACCTTCGAAAAACTTCATACAGGTATGAAGATATTAACTCTCTGCATGTTTATATAATAGAGAGATACCACAAATGTATATATTAAAAAGTCAAGTATCTGATATTTTATAAAAACAAAGGGAAAAAATTGAAAAAAGACTACTTCTTTTAGATATAGCCCTTTTCTACATCTGGAAAATATGTCATTTCGTACATCAGCATTAGTATTTTTTTTCTATTTACAACCATTAAAAAATGTACATACCTGTGGAATAAAATTTTTAACAAATGGAATGTTTGAACAGTAAGCTACTTGTTTCCCATTAAAATTCGATGGCCTGAAAAGGTTATATTTTTTTTATATATCAAAATAACTTGTAATTGAAATTTATTAGTATTTTTACCTTACAGAATAAATAGCTGTCAGATTCAACACGTTAATTTTCAATTCATGATTATTATTTTGACATTGATGACAGAGAATAATGATTACTTACCAAAATCCATGGATGGTCCAGAAGTCGGGAAGCGGCTTTACACACTGTATATAATTTAGGGATTTAAAGCTTATGGTTTATTCTAACATCACTGAGTATAGATCTTTTGAATGAATAAAAATAAATGCTCACTCATTTTACTTACCCGTTTGTTTTCACAAAATGTCACCGGCCATTGGAAAACCAAAACGAAATGATCAAATCCAATTGCCGCTACGTTACTGCTGTCACTGTGCACATACATGTATCAAGATATAGGAAGTTAAAATCACAAACTTACGGAAGTAGTACAGGCACTTTACCGTCAGTACAAACAAACTGGTGAAGTGATGCAATTTGAGAAAGTACAGAGCTGGGTCTTAAATTTCAATTGTCTTTTACCACAAATATATTATAAATGACTTTAAAAAATCAAACTACATAAGTAGGTGTCCGTTTTGTCTATATCAATCTTCCGTATAATTGAAAATGGAAACACATACCTTTTCCACGCAACCATTGCAAATAACAAGAAGAAATGAGGAGGGGAGAACAAAGTAGTCATACCTACCAGAGGTGTAAATTTTCTCAACAATTTTTTTTTCCAAGCCAATATGAGTAAATATCTGGAGAAGATATATACATCAATTTTCATTCATGTCAATTCTCATTAAGCAATGATTATATTAATTGCTCTCAACTGAGATTCTTTTTAATGTTCTTATCCAAAACTTTATCAACATTATTTTGAACGTTTATGCTTTGGTGCTACATTGACATGTAGTTTAAGAGGTCACATTAACATTTGGAAAAAAGTATAATGAAAAAGATATTGTACTTCGTTAAATTAAAACTTTACTTACCTCTCCTGATTGTAAAGTAGATCTGATATAATATAAGCTGATATAAAGTGCATGATAAAATCACGTGAAAGCAATAAGAACAATACGTCATAAACGACATTATATTATTTTTATAAATAAGGCAATTTTCCAAAAATCACTATTGACTTCCGAACAAGTCTTAGTGCACTGGATATCAATAGACTTAAAGTGACGACAGTTTTTTTTTTTTTTTTTTTAATTTAGTTTGATTTAAGTTTCTCAGAGAGAGAGAGAGAGAGAGAGAGAGAGAGAGAGAGAGAGGGAGAGAGAGACCTGGTTTTTTAAATGAATTAATGTTACTCATGTTATTTGCATTATCTTCACAGTTTTGACTGTACACATGTATAATGTATATTAAAGCATTTTTTTGCCTTAGCTTCACTAGTTTTATATAAATGACAAAAGTCATGAAAATTTAATGGATAATTTTTGATATCATCATCATCATCATCATCATCCATATTTCTGTAACTCTAATGGTGGAGCGACAACATTTGCAATGAGGGTAGGCAAATTTTATAGCCAGCGACAATACGTACTTGTTTAAATTTGCAGTCTTCGAGAATATGTTCCGATGAACGACTATATAATTATATATTTATCACATGTTTACTCCTTTATGCAGTGAATATAGCTCATAGGATATCGTTTTCATATCCACGGTTGTGACGTCACAATGTTTTATGCGTGAATTTGATCAAGTCAAATATTGTGGATTTATATATATAAAACAGAGTAAAACATGTGATAGCTATGTGTAAAACATGTGATAAAAGGAATTTCCATGGTTTGTGAAAAGATATATTTTTTTTCAACGCGTTGTGTATTTTTATCCCCTTGCCAAGGCTCTGGGATAATACCACTCAACTCGTTTGATAAAAAATAATATCCAACCACAATCCACGGGAGATCCTATATGTAATCCATATTGCTGTAAGCCTAAGGGGTTAGACAACAATTTGTGCAGTGAAGCTAGGTACATATTGTCTCAGACGACAATATGTACATGACGACAATATACTAGTATGTACCGTCACAATCGCTCTGCATAAAATAGCCTACGAGATACGTCATCGTGATTTACAAACCAATTACATTCACAAAGCTTTAAAATAAGATCTTGAAGCATCCCTAACTGTTGGAAGACAATATCTACAGTTCTGTTATGCTCATAATGTCGCCAGCAACAATATGTACATGTATAATTTTTCAGCCGGCGACAATATGTTTCGATGGACGACAATATGTGCAATGAGGATGGGTACATAAGAAGTAGGACACATGTCCCATGACTCAAGGAATACAACATAGTCTCTGTTAATGTAGATGGTAAAAAGTTAAGAAACCATCAGTAGTTGTGTAATTTCTGGAAAAAAAAAAAAAAAAGAAAAAAAAAAAAAAAACTTTAGCTAATAATTTAACATATTCAAAAGATTTGAAAATTATGCCGATATTTACAAATTGTTGTCGTAGTCTAAAGGCTATGTAAGAGATCACTTTGCTATATTAAAAAAAAAAAACTACAGTGCTGCTATCCCACAAGTTGACATGGGATGGGTTTGGATAGGATTCAGGATTGAGGATTCACGATAGAAACACATAGTAGTTAATCCAATCCAATCCTATCCTATCCTATCCTGTATCCTATACAGCCAATCAGATTCGAGTAAAGGTTGATTCATATTTCAGAATTAATTACAAAAACAGAATATGTTTTAAAACGTTTACAAAAGAAATATTTATAAAATTACGATAGAAAATAAACATATTTTGTTTATTTTAACAAAAATTAATAATTAACTTCGAGTGACATTGCGTACGATTTAACCGTGAACGATTACCGGAAGAATCTTCACATGTAAACAACAAAGAGTTCGGACATCAAGAGATCTTATTATCTTCAGCATGTTTAGTGCAAGAACATGTAAGTATACTACACACTGTACATGTGTGCATGTTTATACATTTCCCCCCTTTTAACAATGTTATAATGACTTGAGCTATCAAAATTTTATTCTATTATAACATAGACAAAAATCGGGTGTGGAAAAATAGGTAGTGTAGGAAGGGGAGAGGGTTAAAAATTTACAAATTCTCTGTCATGATTCAATGTGTCCTAAAACAATAAGATGTATTATGCCTTTTTCAGTTTGTTATTACTTTTTTTTTTTATTTGAGTGCAATTATAATAAAATAAAGACAGAATCATATCTTATGCTACTGTTTAAATTGTATTATAAGCCAACTCAGCACTTACATGTACATTGTATGTATGACCTATTCTGGGTTATGAATTATATATTAATCATTCATTATTCTTCATTGCAGAGAATGATACTTGGTTTTGCCTGCCCTCATCAAAATATTTTGTGAGGAAAAAAGGATTTTACATTTGAAAAGTAGGTATGATTATTAACATGTGTTTATGCTTGGGTATCAGTATAATACATACATATCATTATCAGAGTTGAGATGAAGTTTCTGTGTAGATTCTTTGAATAAGTGATTTTTCTTCTTTAAAAAAAAAGAGTAAAACTGAAAACAGTTTGTTATTGTTCTGGTCATCTGACATGGTCATCATCATGTTATATGTATTTTCATAATTTTTTCTTATTCAAATTTTTAGCAAAGAAGAAAACAAACAAAAAAGCATAAATAGATTAATACTAGCATTAGAATTCAAAATAGAGAAAAAAAACAAACAAACAAACAAATGTACTCATACTAGTTAACAAGTTGACAAGATGAAATGAATTACAATTTACAAGTAAACTATGATTGTTTAATTAAGATATGACTATGAAGTTGCAGTATAAGATTTGAGTTTGCTTGATTTCTTTAAATGCTTTACTCTGGGAGAGAAAAAAGGTAAAATTCAGCCAGTCGTACATGAAATGAGAAAGATAATCACAATTAAATACAGTTTTAATGTATAATGTATATGACAAAAATGCACAATCTACATGCATATATTGTTATAATCATGATAATAATTGGGTTTTTTTTAGGACGATCCTGCATATTTGCTGCTGTACATATTGCAGTTCATCTCATCTGCTGCTGGAACAAATATGAAAGATGTTCAAACCACTAAACAAGAGCCCCCTAGAGTCTGAAATCATGATGATTTTATTAAGGAGATCAGTGTGTGAAGTATTTGTTTTCTGTGCATTGTTGACAATTTTGAAACTGTTCGGTTACTTATGACTAGCTCTTTGACACAAACTTTGACATTTGAAATTCAATTTGAGCGATGGACAAGGAGGCGAAATCATATGCATGTAAAACATCATACGATTGGAAAAAGACAATGATAAACTTAAATTTAAAAAGATTTCATGTACATGTATCTGTGAGCTTGGCATTGAAATACATGTATACTTCTGATGAATTTGTCTCATAATGGAACATTCAATTGTTATACATTGTAGATAAAAAAAAAAAATTGTAGATGAGATTTATTTGGCCCAAAATATATATATTTAACACTGAAGAGGCAATTATCCTGAATAAATATTGTCAACTTGGTCAAGCATTTTTGTTCCTCATTTAGACCCTGAATAACATTCAAGATCAAATGTCAAGGTCAAAAACAAAATTTACTTAAATATGGCTTATAGATACTGAAACTACTGTGAATTCATATACATGTTTTACAAGAAAGAATTTGAAGGAATATGTGTGTGTTCACTGCAATAATTATTGCTGTCAATCTATCTATGAAGATTTATGAAAATGTTTTCTGTTAAACATAAATTAAATTCTCACACATAAAAATATGGTTATTGAAATACATTTGCATGACACTGAACTGACCATAAACTAAAAACAAAGTGAAGTAAAATAAGAAAATTTAACATTTTGAATATCTTGATTTTTATTTAGCAAACATGATAAAGTTTTTGCATATTTGTAAAATATTCAAATTCAAACAATGCTGAACTGAACATCTCAAACAAGAATAACTTTAAACAATGAATATAAAACAAATTTTAATCATACATTTAAATAATTTTTACATGTTTAATGAATAAAAGTCATGATATTCTAAATGTCTGTTCTCGGTTTATGGTCTTGTCATACATGTATCTTCTTTCTGGATCTACATGAGTATGAAGGTATACACATTAATAGTCTGATTCTCATAATTAAAGAGCTTAAATTTTGTTCGTTTAGTCTACTTATTAATAATCATAACATTAGAAAAGTATCTGAAGTCTTAGTTGTTGTCCCCCCCCCTTTTTCCACGATTTCTTCTCTCTAACTTTAACTCCATTTATTTATCAAAGTGTATAAATTCGAAAAGAAATCGCAAATACCGTGACGTCTCTCGATCATTGTTAGTATGTGAAATTAAATTAAA